GTAAGGTTTTTTCCCTCTCCCCCCCCCCCTTCCAACTTTTTTAGCCCATTATGGTCCGAGGATAACCTTGAATAACTCATATGCAATTTTTAGAGTGGAAGCTCCTGATCCAGCCACTGGTTGCCTCCGTCTGACAGCTATCTGCGCAGCTCAACCTGGCTTCTTTGGTTTTATGGAGTTCAATATTAATGAAGGGGGTCCAGACGAAAATCTGGATGTCGTACAGGTTAGCCAAATAGTTAGCTGTTCTCTATGGGCTTTTGGTCTCACTTATAACATTTTGAAGTAAATATCAGTAGACTGTAGATGAAATATCAGCTTTTTTTATCTTTCTGATTTTACACTTTCTTTTTTGCTCACTTACAGGTGCTGAAAAATCGCTTAATTTTCTAAAAAGCATCAATACTAGGCATTTCTTTTGGAAGGTATTATTAATGCTAATTGATAAAAATCTTTACAGGTTGTCGAAGCATTGCTTGAATGCAGGGACGGAGCTTGGTTCTATAAAAATATCCCCAGACAAGTAAATTCCGTACAGTGCACAGAAGCGGCACCCTAAGATTGTTCTGCCATTACTGTATAAACATTATTGATAATATTTATAATGATTATATGTTCATATTTGTATATCTGGACAAATAAACATTTCCATAATTTGTTCCGAAAACGCTCGCAAGACTAGATTCAAAACAAAAGCTCTTAAATCCAACTCTCCTCTCAAATTTCAATTTCTGTGAAATTTTGGAGTTCATTAAACATTGAATGTCCAAGAGTGCAGCATCAAAAAAAGGCTCGCTTCTGTTGCTTTAGTTTTTATGTTTCGATTTATTTTAAATTGCTCAGACTTATTGCACTACCACCTTCTTTCCGTCTTTTAGCATGTACACCATTTTCTTTATTAGGAAAGAAGTAAAAAATATGGAGCAGATATCTGAAAGCAATCCGGCCTTAATTTGACCGATACGGAATCTATCAGTACAACAAGTTATTCAGCTAAACTTTGCTGATCAGCATCATTTTTCATCCTTTTTCAAAAATCTAATCAACTATCAATGCTCAGGTTTCGACGAAAAGTATTGCTAAGACAAAATGTTTTCAATGATATAATACCTAAGCCTCAATATCAAAGAATTCCAAGTAGATGCATACCTAAGTAATATATTCTCCATAATGATGCACAAATCGTAAGCCTTTTTTCAATGTTATATCTCACAAAATTCATCCGAGATTTCGTTAAATCGCCTACACGCATTGGCTTCTCCAAGAATAATTAAAGTGTTTTTTTT